AAAAAAATAAAAAGAAAAAAGAAAAAGAAATTAGAAAAAGGGTGGAAGTAGCAGTGAGACTGGGAAAGCAATGGGCTGACTGAGAGAGTGACATTATATAATGAACACTACATCAAGTTTCTGATCATGTAAGCATGTTTAATAGAATAGTTCGTTTGCTCATGTTCCAAGGAACTGACAGACTCTTGGTGTTTTTTTCAATGATAGTTCTAGGAAAATCCTTTAAAACAAGTTTGGGTTATCTCCCTACACACAATGGTAAAGAAGTCCCATGAAATTTCCCAAACAATATAGACAATTCAAGAATCAGCTGATAAAGCCCTATTGCTGAAGTTGCCATACACCTAGGTGACAGAATACAGAAAAATCAAGCTGGCACTGAGGTTGAAAATTCCTCTTTACTGCCTAGCCCTCATAGTGCTAGTGGTAAGTAAGTATTCAAGATTATTGGAAGAGCTGTCACTCAGCTGTGGATCTTATGTCAAGATGAGCCAGTTGACACAATAATGGCACAAAAATGGCAAGTGTGCGAAAAAAGCAACCAACTGCTTTATGACCAGATTTGATGATCATTCCACAGGACAGAAGTCACATTTATTACTGTAAATCCATGGAGTTACTGGTTTGTGAGGGGTGGTATAAGCTCTAATGGGAAAGCTGTTGTTACTCTTTTTTTTTCTTTAAACCTGGAGCTGAGGACCAAACCTAGGGCCTTCCAGCCCTCTACCACTGAGCTAAATCCCTAACCCCTGTTGCTGCTTTTTTACTAAATAGACATGGTATGCTCATCATATTCCCTTCTAAATAGCTATGCTCATCGATTAGTGCTTCTATTTGGTGAGATAAGCATCTTTGCCCTGGTCAGTGGTAACTGCATAGACTGATTAAAGTACTAAGAAAGAAAGAGTGCTGAATGCTTTAATGGGACATCTGTATTATGCCCTACACAGGGCAAGGAACACTGCAGAGGATGGAAGACTTAATAGGAGAAATGGCTCAGGTTTCACACAAACATCAGAGTTTAATCCCTATAATCCAAAGTGGAAGGAAAGAACTGACTCACTAACTCTGCCCTCCACATATGTGCCATGATAAGCATATTTCCTATTCTCATTCTCTTTCACCTCAGACAGACAGACAGACAGACAGACAGACAGACAGACACACACACACACACACACACACACACACACACACAGAATGGCATAAGGGACTGAGAGATGACTCAACAGGTAAAAGGTAAAGATAGTTCAGCCTGGGACCCAAGTTTGATCCCTGAAACTGACAGGAAAACAACTGACTCATACAAGTTGTCTGCTTGACTTCAACATACACTAAATGGTACCTGTGTACCATCATCCTCACACACACACAAATAAATGTAATTTTATTTAAAAAAAAACAAAAAAACAAAAAAAACTTTTTTCAGAGACAGGGGAAGAAGGAAATGGGGTGAAATGCTACCTCCAGATATGACATTTTGTTGTAATCGTGAACACACAGCAATAGCTGTGACTACCTTCACAAGAGTTGCTCAACTAGGCTCTTTAAAATCTGTCCTGGAAAGAGAAAAGGCTCATAGACCCCACTCCTCCCTGAAGAATTATACATAAAGAAATTGATGATAAAGGTAAAGACATTTTCTTAAACTGCATAAGCTGTTAGCTAAATGTCCTAGAAATCATCCTTCACCCTATGTTTCTGTAAGTAGCCCTAATGAAATTTACTGGGTACGTGTGTACACACACACACACACACACACACACACACACACACACACACACACACACAGCATACAACATTTAAGCTAGGGGAATAATTGGGAAGTTGAATATTAAAAGGAAACAAAAGAAGGTAAGGTAACAGATATGACTGAATTACATGTATACAAAGACTTAATGAAACCCATTTTTGTATAATTGTATATATACAAATTATATATATATGTGTGTGTGTGTGTATATATACATATACATAAATTTGTAAAATTAATATATACAAATAAAAACTCCTTTCCGCTTCCTTCTTCTGACACACCCCCACCTCTTTCTTTCTCCCTCCGCCTATTGAGTGTCTCACTATGTAGTCCTGACTAGCCTCAAACTCACAAAGATCTGCATGCTTCTGCCTCTGCCTCCAGACTGCTGGGATTGAAAGGTGTGCACCACCATACCTAGCCCTAGAAACCATTTCTTTAAGCGGGTTTGGCTGGGGGCGTTGAGAAATAGCTAATCACTTAAGAGCAGTGGTTGTTCTTCCACACAACCCTAGTTCCAGTCCCAGTAACCAAATGGCAGTTCACAACTTTAACTCCAGTTCCAGGAAATCTGATATCTTCTGTCTATAAGGGAACCACACATGTGCATGGTAAACAGACATGAATGCAGGCAAAACATCCATATATGTAAAGTAATTTAAATGTTATAAGAATAGAAAGCTTAATAGGCATAGTGGTGCATGTCTGTAATCTCTGCACTTAAGAGGCTCAGGCAAGGAGGATCACAAGTTCAAACTTGGACTATAAAGTGAGCTATAGTTCAACCTTACTTGCATCAAGAGATCTCGTCTTAAAAGAAATGAAAGCAAGCTGACATTTGAGAAGAGCTTAAAGACATAGCCCTGTAGTGCTTACTATGTGCCATCACCTGGCCATGCCATCACCTGGCCATGGAACTACTTCAAAAAGTAAGAACCAAGCCGGGCGGTGGTGGCGCACACCTTTAATCCCAGCACTCGGGAGGCAGAGCCAGGTGGACCTCTGTGAGTTCAAGGCTAGCCTGGACTACCAAGTGAGTCCCAGGAAAGGCCCAAAGCTACACAGAGAAACCCTGTCTCGAAAAACCAAAAAAAAAAAAAAAACTGAAAAACCTGGTAACACCAAGTACAGAGTAAGACCATAAAACATTGGACTCAGAAATAACATCACTGGTAAAGTGAAAGACCTGGTACTAACACTGATGTACAGTATGGTATTTCTTTTTTTTTTTTTTTTTTGGTTTTTCGAGACAGGGTTTCTCTGTGTAGCTTTGCGCCTTTCCTGGAACTCACTTGGGAGACCAGGCTGGCCTCGAACTCACAGAGATCCGCCTGGCTCTGCCTCCCGAGTGCTGGGATTAAAGGCGTGCGCCACCACCGCCCGGCTAGTATGGTATTTCTAAGTAAAATTAAAATATATTACCGAACAACTTAGAACCTAAGAACCAAAATGAGATGAATAGCTTGAGTGAAGTATTGAGAAGAGGAAAGGAGAGTATGAATCTTAGGCACTGTGATGATGGTAAACAGAATCTAATTCACGGGCTATGAAAACTACACAGCTATCTAACAGAGACCCACAAAGAAAGCCATACGCAATTACTTCATTTCAAGTGAGAAGGGGGGATAAGAGGTGACATCAATATTTCCAAATGTCAAGAAAACCTGGGCAGGATGGGATGTCCAATTTTTTAAGCAGGTCTTTCATTTCCTTTTGACTTCAAGCTACTAAACTTCCAAATCCTAATGCACATCTATACAATTTTAAATGTCACCTTTCTAATAATCATATGATGTACATATGGTTAAACAAGGAGCTTGCTCACTACCAAACTTAAAGACACCAGAATCCAAAGCAGGAGAGAACCAAGTTATCCTCTGGCCCCCACAAGCACCATAGCACATGCCCAAGTATGTGTGTGTGCATAGCTATAGATTTAGTGCTAAACAGAGTTAACACTTCAGGCTCTATATTAAGTTCGGCTGATTCAGAATTAGCTGAAGTTGTTGAACAAGAACGCTAGTGAGATGGCTCAGCCTGTAAAGGTGCTTGCCATCTCTGAGTGTGAGGACATGAATTCGATCTCCAGGACCCATAGGGTGGAAGTAGAAAAGCAACGTCGTCTGACCTCCACATATGTACTCCATGACATGTGTACCCACAAACAAACACGAGACAAAAACAAATTTGTTTAAAAAAAAAAAGTTAGCGGCAACCACTCTAAGGCTTTCAATAAGCAAGGAAGACCACAGCTCTATCTAGCCAATCTTGTAAGAGGACTCAAAAACAACAACTCCCTGACCTCCTAAGTACTGTGCTATACGCCTGCAATCCCAGGCTCAAGTATGAAGATCACAGGGCTTGAAGTTAGTTTGAACAACATGCTGAGACTCTGTCAAGAATTTAAAAACAGAAAGAAAATTAAGACCTTTAAACCTGTTATTAAATGTAAAAAAGGCCAGGTGGTGGTGGTCCAAACCTTTAATCTAAGCACTCGGGAGACAGAGAAAAGCATCTCTGAGTTTGAGGCCAGCCTGGTCTACAGAGCAAGTTCCAGGACAGCCAGGGCTACACAAAGAAATGCTACGCCCTCCCCCATCCCCTAAAAAGAGGATGTGGCTTAGTGTTCTCTTAGTTTCTTTGTCCTTTATTTCTTACAACAGAACAAGGAGGAACAGCTTCAGTATTACTATAATCAGCAGCTAAAAAGTCAGAATCATCTGTTCACTCCAGTGTGTGTGTGTCTGTCCGTCCCCGTCCGTGCACCACCAAGGCTAGTTCAAAAAGCACTATGCTCTTCCATCTGTTCCTTTGCTTAGAATATTGTTCTACTCTCCTACAAGCTCCAAGAGGACAATATTCTTTCCATTAACTTAAGTACCCAGCAGTATGTGGAACGTATGACGCAATCTTCTTTTAAAATCACTTTAAAAAGTCAAAATACTGTACACTTTTTAAATCTAGTACAGAACACCAACATTTCCCCCATGCTAACATTAAGAAATGACTGATCAGCAAATGCTGTAAAGACAAACATATAGGTACTGAAAAAAGATTACTTAGCATTAATAAAACATTCCTTGTCTGTCTCTGCAAATTTAACTTCTATTTCAATTGACATGCATTACCATATGGAGATAAAACAGAAAAATCTAAGAGAAAATAAACGAACTTGAATGCATAATCATTACTCCTGACTAACCAGATGTTCTTTTAGTAAAGAAAGATCGACCCACAAACTTACTTGCTAATTTGGCCTGTAATCCAGAAGGTCCAGGTTTTGATGTCTCTGACTTAGAAGACCCTGGAAGAGACAGTTTTGTTTTAGGTAGGCTAACTTTAGGGCTGAAACGAGCAGCCCAATCAAATTTTGAAGAGCCACCAGTTTTACTCTGTTCCTTTTCCCTGCTACTTCTTCTGGGACTAGGGCTGGATGCTGAACGGGAACGCCTGGCCTTGTTCTGGTCTTTTCCTTGTTTCACCCTGGCACCTGGTGGTACAGTGGAAGAGGCCGAGGCTACAGCTGAAGATGAGGAGGAAGTAGAGGCAGCAGAAGAAGAATCGGTGATGGTGCTACACCCAGCTTTGGCTGAGGTGGCCGATTTTGAAGCCAGCTTGGTGGGTTTTGCAGATCTCTCTTCGGCACCAGTTGATTCAGACCCAGAACCACTCTTTACACAAGAACTCTCTGTCCTCTTTCTTTTCTGACTCCGTGAACTACCAGCAGCCACACTTTTTCTGGTGTGAGCCTTGCTTGTTGACGGCAATTGTGCAGATTTCAGTTGTTGCTCCTGATCTAAATGTCTCTTCTTTGACTTACTATGTGGCTTATTGGTTTCTGAGAGAGACTCAATGTGCTGAAATGCTCGGGGCTTTTTTGCAGAGTTAGGAGAATTGGTCCTGTTGTAGTCTGGACTAGCACTGCGTTTCACTCCTCGAGAATTGTCTTTCTTAGGCACCTGCCCCGTTTTCTGCCTTTCAGAAGTATTGGCTCTGTCTGGATCCTCTGGTTGTGGAACTATGACAGCAGATGATGAACTGCAGCTTCTATGAGGTTAGATAAGAAAAGAGTTAGTAGTAGCCTGTCATGAGTAAACCTGCCATCTAACACTGAAGTCCCCAACTCCCCCCTAAATCTCTGGACTAAACCAGGCAGTGGTAGCACACGCCTTTAATCCCAGCACTCAGGAGGCAGAGGCAGGCAGATCTCTGTGACTTCATGACCAGGCTGGTCTACAGATCCAGTTCCAGGACAGGCTCAAAAGCTACACAGAGCAAAACCCTTCCTTGAAAAGCAAACAAACAAAAATCTCTGGACTAAGTACCTGGAGGAGACGAATTCCTGTGAAGTCCAATACTAACATTTTCAGATAGTTCAAAGTGGAAAGAAAAGGCAGTGATTTTTAAGTGTATTTTGTTGGAAAATAAGCATACTTCTTATAGGGGGGAGGAAAGAGGTATTTTTTCTGTCTCTCTGTCTCTGTCTCTCTGTCTCTGTCTTTCTCCTCTCTCTCTCTCCTCTCTCCTCTCTCCTCTCTCCCTCTCCCCTCTCCCTCTCTCTCCTCTCTCTCTCCTCTCTCTCTCCTCTCTCTCCTCTCTCTCCTCTCTCTCTCTCTCAAAACCCAGAATGGTCTATAACTAAGAAGAGTCTCAGCTAAGACTGTCTTTGAAAACGGGTCCTGCCTCTATCCCCATGTGCTTGAGATTACAGGCTTGTTCCCACCATGCCCAGTTCAAAGTAAGAGTACTCTTTGGTTCAAAGATCACTGACACTAACACTCCTAATCATGAGTTTATTGTTTTAAGAAAAAGAATGCTTAATGGTTCATAACCACTAAGTTAGAATACTGAAGTTCCAATCTAAAAGACCATCTCATCACACAAAGAATCTTCACAGTAATACCCCTTTGCAAAGCCTCCTACCAATCGAACATCTAGAGAGATGGCTTGTTTAAGAGCACTTGCTTGTGCAGAGGTCCAGTGTTCAATTCCCACCACCCACATGATGGCTCACAACAACCAGTAACTCCAATTCTAGGTGATGGCCTCCTAGCACCCACATATATATAGCACTCAAATAAAATTACTTTAAAAAAGAACACTGACTTGGACTAACAAAAATACTGACTTAAACAAGCTCTGACAATAGGCATTATAGAAAATGTTAATTAAATGACATTTTCAAATGCCGATAATGGGGCATAAGCAATTAAGAGCATTTGCTGCACTTCCATAGCACTTGAGTCCGGTTCCCAACACCCAGACCAGGTAGATCACAACTAGCTGTAACTCCAACTCCAGGGAATCCAATGCCCTCTTCTGCTCCCTGTGGGCACTGGCACTCATGTGCACATACCCACACAGATACACAACATACATGGGATTTTTTAAATGCCCACCATGGTTTGTTAAGCAAATGAGGAACCTCATCACTCCCACACAAGTAAAAATTTCATTGCCTAAGGTATGTATCAGTGACACCACCAGAAAGGGAATAAAATATACACTCAAGAGAAAAAAAGAAAACTTGTGTAGCAACATTTGAGATAATATTGTAAGCTTTAATATTATGCAGTAATTCAAATACCATTTAAGTCTCCCTGGAAATTGTACAAGCAATGTGAAAATTTACCTTTTAGAAAGGTGTCCCCTTGACAGTTCAGAAGTAGTATTAGATTGCACTTTGGGTGCCTTAAAATTAGATTTTCTACTCTCAGGAGGGATATATCCCTTATGTTTTGCCTGCCCTAAATGTGACCTGTCAGCAGAAAATCAAAACAGAAATCTATCAGGATACTGAGATGCAAATACAATATCAAAAGTGAAATTTTTACATTAAAGTCTCCATACTTGACCTACACTTCTTCCAAATATTCATTAAACTTTGAACCTATCAAATAATCTGAGAAAAGTAATTTTGTCTTAGAACAAACCATCTATATACCCAAAGATTAAGATTCCTAGGTATCAGTTATCAAAATGCAGTGTTTTCTTAAGCAAGCTTTTCAGATTTCATTACAGAAATTCAATTATTTTCACACAACACACACACACACAAAGCAAATACACTAACTTGAATATCACAGTGTATGCTAAGGTTGACTAAATGACAATATACTGTATTTTCCAAAAACTGAACTCTGGATGTTTTAAGAAGGAAAAGATGATAAATAACACAGGTATATTTAATTTGATATGTTTAACATTATTACATAATGTAACATATCAAAACACATTATTACACAGTACCTGATAAATGTGCGGGTTTTAAACTTAAAAAAAAAAAAGGCAATGTGACTACGACTTTTTTTACTGCTGGGTATGCAGACCAGTGGTAAAATATGTGCCTAGCTATCATGTACAAGATCTTGGTTTCAATCTCAAGCACTGAAGGTAGGGGGAGAACCTGAAAAGGGAAGGGGGGGGGGGAAACCTTTGTAGAAAAAAGGCAATTGTAATTCACAAAATGGTTCAAATTTGTATGTAAATAAAGAAATGGGTGAAGCCATTTTCAACCTGGTTTTGCATAGAAAAGTCAATGTGGGCATCAAATAGCAAATAAAACATCATAAAATCAAGACAGTATTAATAGGAAGTACAATGTAGTAACAGTTACCACAAAACATTAGTTCATGCTCAAAAGACTCCAGTGATATACATATATTTTGTTTATTTACAACAAATTTTAGTATCAATACCATCATTATTCTAAAAGGAAGTTTAAAGAAAATGTGTCAACGGTTAGATCTTTTGTCAGGGACTACAAGATATTTACATATGCAATAAAAAGGCAGATAAACATCTATCAAAAAACTCATCTTAATAAAAAGAATTGGCATTCATGTTCTTCATAAAAGTATATGCTAATAAGGAATGAGAGCACAGTGTTACTAATACTCAAGACAGTTACTTAAAAGTAACCTGACAGGGGTAGAACTTGGTTTAAAACTTAGAATGACTATGTAGTATGGTCCTGGGTTTGGTCCTAACTTTGCAAATTGTTCTAGTTACTTACAAAGATAATAAATTTCTTTTTAAGGAAAAAGGATTTAATAGAAATAGAATATTGATACACTATATCATCCAGATATTTTCATATTTTTCCTGTACTTTGTTATAATTGTACTGGAGACTGAACTCGGGGCCTTGAACATGTTAGACAAATGATCCACTGCTGAGTATCCTAAAAAGTTTTATAATTTAAAAATCATGAATTATTCATTCAAAGTTAAACATCTTTTTGAGAAATAATAATTAAGCTGGGTGTGGTGGTACACACCTTTATGACCAGTATCAGGGAGGTAGAGGCAGGCATGTCTCTGGCCAGCCTGTTCTATGAAGGTAGTTCTGTAACAGGACTATTCTAAGAAACCCTGAGGGGGGTGGGGTTGGAAGAGAGATGAGAGGAGATCTGATTGGTATATTAAAAAAATTATTTTAAAAGCCAGGCGGTAGTGGAACACGCCTTTAATCCCAGCACTCGGGAGGCAGAGCCAGGTGGATCTCTGTGAGTTTGAGGCCAGCCTGGGCTACCAAGTGAGTCCAAGGAAAGGTGCAATGCTACACAGAGAAACCCTGTCTCGAAAAACAAAACAAAAAAAAAAAGAAAGAAAAAGAAAAAAAAAAAAAAAAAGCCTTTAATCCCAGCACTCGGGAGGCAGAGCCAGGTGGATCTCTGTGAGTTTGAGGCCAGCCTGGACTACCCAGTAAGTTCCAGGGAAAGGAGCAAAGCTACACAGAGAAACCCTGTCTCGAAAAACCAAAAAGAAATTATTTTAATTAAAAAAAGAAACTCTGTCTTGAAAAAGGAATAAGAAACACAGAGCCAATGCAGAGATGAAAGCCCAAGAGGTCAGAGCTTACCCTTCACTGTCACTGCTGTCTTCCTCAGCAAGAGAGCTACTTCCTGTCTGTTTATCTTTTTTATAGACTTTCTATTCTGCCTTCTCATTGGTTGTGAATACAACCACATGACCTCCTCGTCACTGCCTGTCTGTACAGACCTCCAGGTCTTCTATGGTTGGTATTGAGATTAAAGGCGTGTGTCTCCATGCTGGCTGTATCCTTGAACACCACCACCGCCCAGCTTCTTCTATGGCTTGCTATTAGCTCTGACCCCAGGCAACTTAAATTATTAACATACAAATAAAATCACATTTCAGTACAAATAAAATATCACCATAATATACTAACACATACACTACAAATTAATTACACTAAATATAAGTAAAATGGTTACATATCCCCAATAAATCACAAGAAAACTATAAAAACACTAATTCTTTACCATCAAAAATTAATCTACTATAAAGTAGAACTATTCTTTCAACAAAATTATTCTTTGGTTTTTATTTAAAGCCCATTAAAATTTTGTTTGCAGTGCCAAATTTAGAATGCATTTATCATGACATGACCTTACTAAGTAAGACCTTCCATGAACTAGAAAATAGCATATAAATTCTTAGTATCACGTCACAAAAAAGTAAAGTCTATTCCATCAGATCAAAAAAAAATTCAGCTGAGCAGTGGTGGCACATGCCTTTAACCCCAGCGGAGGCAGGTGGATCTCTGTGAGTTCAAGGCTAGCCTGGTGGTTGTGGTGTACGCCTTTAATCCCATCACTCAGGAGGCATAGGAAGGTGGGTCTTAGTGAGTTCAAGGCTAACCTGGTCTATAGAGGAAGTTCCAGGATAGCCAAGGCTATAGAGAGAAACCCTGTCTTAAAACAACCCCCCTCGGGGCTGGAGAGATGGCTCAGTGGTTAAGAGCATTGACTGTTCTTCCAGAGGTCCTGAATTCAATTCCCAGCAACCACATGGTGGCTCACAACCATCTGTAATGAGATCTGGTGCCCTCTTCTGACCTGCAGTTATACATGCTGTATACATAATAAATAAATCTTTAAAAAAAAAAAAACAACCCCCCTCTTCCACCCCCCCCGCAAAAAAGAACCAAAATTCATAAAACTGGCTTAGACTAACTAACAATATAGTGTGACCCTTTCAGAATCATTTAGCTACTGCTATTCTCATTGGGGAGTGACTCTTGTTTTTAAAAACTGATGTACAGGGTTAGCAAACCAGCTCAGTAGGTAAAGGCACTAAGTATGACAACCTGAGTTCTAGTCCCAGAACCCATATGGGGGAACAGAGAAAACCTCTGAAAAGTTGTCATCAAATCTGAACACCCGCACTCGTGGCACCCTCACACATTAAATAAATCATATTAAATCACTGTACAATTGCATGAAAACAGTAGTGATTTTCACTATTTATTTTAGAAAGAGGCCAATAGCTCTTCTTTATTTAAAGGACAAGTCATTATTTTCGGCTTTGTAAGACTTGGGGAATAACTTAGTGGTCAAGTAATTTAAGCTTGGGTTTGCTCCCTAGCACCACACAACATAGAAAGGACTACAACCATCAAATTAAGTAGTGTCTTCCTTTTTGAGCTCCTAGTAAAGACAGGGCCATATTCTTTCGAGCCGCCTATGGTATTGACACATTGGTCCTTGAAACTAATTATCTGTTCACATATTAATAATTCTTTTTCACCTTTTAATCAATTTTCACCACTTGACTTTATGTAGTAATGTTGAGAAAAGTGCCTATTAATAGTACTTCCACATTATACTGACACCAATATGAAGCATATAGCTAGGGAGGAATAACAAAAAAAACCACAACCATAAAGCCCAGCATAGTGGTGCATGCCTTGGCACCTGAGGCCGAGGCACACAAAGCAAGCCTAGACTATATAGTGAGAGTTTGAAAAAAAAAAAAAAAGTTGAAATTAAAAAATTTAAAATTTTAAAAAATTTAATCAAAGATTAAAAATTTATGTACTTCCAAGGTTATCTTAAAAGCAAGTCTCAAACACCTGTTGTCTTTTATGATAAGAGTGTTTACTGTAACTGCTATATAGTCAGAACTTTGGTAGATAAAGGATTAAGTATAATCTATAGGGCTTGGGGATTAAATCAGTGGTAAAATATGTGGCTTAGTATGCATGAGGCCCTAGGTTCAATCCCCGGCACCAAAACAGAACTGCCACCAAACACAAACCCATACATACAAATTCATAGTCGAAAGATTACAAAGAAATCTAAACTTCATGTCAATGAGTATATTGCACTTAATGTTAGAAAATGAAATAAGTGACTAGTTAACAACTACATAGTTCCTCATGTTATATAGATTTTTAAATGTTTGAATTCATGCAGGTATGGTGACACATATCTATAACCCCAGCACTTAAGAGTATAATTTGAGGCTATCCTAGGCTATACAGAGAAAAAGCTTCATGCTTGTGCTCTGTCTCTCTCACGCTCTCTCTTTCTCCCTCCATCCCTCTCCCCACCCTACCCCACCCCACACAGAGTCCATATTGCCAAGTATTAAGTTCACTGGAGACTTAATTACATCTCCAAATTTGTACGTATGAAAACAGGAACATGTACTTTTTACTAATACAAAATTAACTTTTGTATTCCAAAAAATTAAGTTTTTTATTTGAAACATAAGGATTTCAAGGACAATTTCAACTACATAGTGATTTTGAAGCCAACTTAGACTACATAAGACCCTGTGTTTCAAAAAATATGGCTCAGCGGTTAAGCACTGACTGCTCTTCCAGAGGTCCTGAGTTCAATCCCAGCAACCACATAGTGGCTCACAACCATCTGTAATGAGATCTGGCACCCTCTTCTGGCCTGCAGGTATACATGCAGACAGAATACTGTATACATAATGAATAAGT